AAGCCATCCGGTTGGAATTAAGATGTTGGCGCTGATGGTCTGAGGGTATTGGGTTCCTGTTTTACTGCACACTCGTGCCGAGTTGGAACAAGACGTGTGTCATGGCTGTAGCTACTTAATATGGAAAAGCAGTATATTTAGAAACCCATCTGAATGTCAAGCAGCTATGTACTTTACTGTTCCCTCTTTACTCTGGGATGGCACTGGTCCCTTTTGGGGACATGACTAACCAGCAGCATCTGGGATGGAAACAGGTTGGGAACTTTCCTGCTGTGGCTGCTGTGACAGAGGTCTCTGTAGGCTCTGGAAATGTCCCAGCTTGGTTTAATTAGCATATGGCTCCAGAAAGCTCATTCAGCTCTTAATGACTGTCTCTGGCAATCTCCTGCAGAAGCTTTTATGCCTAGGCAATGACTTTTAAATACAAATCTCCTTTTTAAGAAGATCATAACGTATAAAAATGTTGCTGATTTAAATTTACAACTGGCCTTCTGTGCTAATGTGTGAGCTTACCATGTCCCAGTAAAATTGTTCAAATGAAAACCTCTAATGAACCCTGCTCTGATTAAAGATTAAAGACCCATCAACTCATTCAGTTACTGCTCTTGCTCACGCATACTTGTGCCACTGAGGCGACCTCAGACATCAAAAAGCTCCGTTACGTGTATTCCATCTTAAAAATGGAGACTACTTTGGGTTGTCAAAAAGAGCACTTTTAGTTCTGCGAGTTATCCAAATTTGAAGAGGTTCTTCCTCCCTGTGTTGGGCTAGATAACGTTTTAAGTTATGGACCCATCTAATTATTGGGGCGCTGGAAAAGTGAGAATAATTCTTTTTCTTTTCCTTGCAGTGTCTGAAAAATGTGCGTGAGAGATGAGCTCTACCAGTTCTTCCAAGCGTTGACCCATCCAGAGCTCGGCTACTTCTGATGCTCTAGATGTCCCTTAGAAAAAAGGGCAGTGCAAAAGCACCCTGCTGTAGGCTTGTGGTGTCAATGACGCTGGTGAATTAAGTTCCTGCTTCTTGGTGTTTCTTGGGGAAAATGGGGGAGCATAATTTTTTTTTCCTGTTTTATCCCCCTCTGCAGCACCTCTCTGAATATCTTTCCTCATCACAGAACATTTTTTGATGTGCTTTTTTCATGTATTAGAGAAGTTTAAACTTCTCTGTTTACTCAGCAGTACAACTTTAAGTACCCTTTTCACACCAAATTCCAGTACCCAGTACTGAATTTGAGCAGGAGTTTTAGGTGGCGTTGCTCACTGCCTCCCAGCGTAATGGAAAAGTAGGACTCCCAGGGTCACTTTGAATATAGGGCTGCTTTTGCAAAGAATAGGTACCTTCTAACTGGCAAAAAGTCTCCAATGTCTCCTTAAAAGCTGTGTTTCATTGCAGAGCATCTTACTGGAGAGAGGATCATTGTTTGGTAAAATAAAATATACACATAAAGCAAGAATGTAAATAGCTATTGAAATCACTTATGTCTTCAGTTTGAATGATACCTGCTGCAGCTTAGATCAGAAGTGGTACTTCCTTAGTGGGTTTGTGGGTTTCCCACCTGTCAGACACTAACACTTATAATGTGAAATTACAAATGTATGAAGGTCTGGGCTGTTCCAGCTTCTCAGCTGCATGTACCCATCCATGAGTTTTGTTTGAGCAGCGCGTGTTTAATGGTGGAGCGGACGATAACAAAACCGCATTTAAAAAACATCAAATCTGTTAGCTGACTCTTCTGCTAGAAAAAAAATTAAGTCTTGTGGCACAAACAAATGCGGACATGTCATTCTTTTCTGAAAAAAATCCATTTCTATTGTTCAGGGATATTAATTCAACCTGCTACCTAGCAAGGATTTAGGATAGAACTCGCTTATCTCTTAGTGAAAAATGTGATCTATGTATTCCTTGTAGCAGTAACCTCTTAAACAGGTTATATTGGAAGATCATAACTATTTTGCTTGGTCCTTAATTGCAGTGCTTTGGGGTTAAGGTTTTTCTCTGAGCTACTTCTTTGTATCTGTACACCAAATTTATTGCATTAAATCATGCAAAAACTGTGAGGCTGTTTCATACTGTAAGCTATAATCGTATCACTTCTTGGGAGTTTTATACCTTACTTTGGTTTTATTCTTTATCTTACTGCAGTTAGGCTGTTACTTACTGGTGTTAGGCTTTTTGTTGCTACAGCCAGGGCAAGATGCTCATTTTTACTCTTTTTAAATGAACATCAACTTTCTCAAGTGATCTTGACTGAAACATGTGAGGCTTTTAACAAAACATAGCAAATATCATGGCACTTACAATTAAAAAAAATATATAAGCGTTAGTAAAATTGCAGATGGAAAGCATGGATAATCTAGCTTCTAAGGTGGTGGTTTTGTGTTCCAAGATGAGCACGCTCTTTATTTTAGAATTATTATAGGAACTGCCTGCACTCACCTCTCTTGGGCAACTGCTACCAAGTGAGCACTGCAGTGAGCTTCTGGGTGAATATCACAGCGTTATCAAGATTATTTGGACAAAGAGGATAATTTACTGTTTCTTAGGGCTCAGACTGAGAGTACATTTATGCAGGGCTATAGCCAGCAATCTGAAATGTTGTAGAATCTTTTCGAGCTCAAGAGCAATCGCTGTGGGGTTGATTTTCATTCTGACTGATTAAATAATATTGGCAACGCTTTCCTTATCCATTGTATCTTATGCATATAAAACTGTAATGAGGAAGGGAAACCCAAATAAAGGCAACATTAGCCTCTCGGTGAAAATAACGCTTGCAAATTTTCCTTGCATATGAAACAAATTCATCCCTAGAGAAGAAGTGGGAACAGCGGGTTTGTGAAGGATGGGAATAATTTAAAATGTGAAATAAGAGCTATTTTTTATATCAAAATCTACTATTGTTCTAAGCAGGAGAGGACTGGAGAACCAGTAGTGTTGACTGGCTGTATTTCAAAATCTTTTAATTTTAAGCCTTTTTTTTTTAAAGGAAAAAACAAAATGATAATGCGACTTGCAAAGTTAGCTTTTGGTATGTGCACGAATGAATATCAAATCAGTGCTATTCAAATTCAATAGCTGTGAGAAGCGGAGGACATTATAGTAGTTTGCTCATAAACTAGGGTAATGAAGGAGAGGATGCTGGAGTAGACTGTGTTTTGAGTCACTGCTTGCTGACCTGGGCTCTTAGGAGACAGCAGCCAAATGCTGCATTGCTGACTTTTTCTCAGAAATGGTATTAGAAGCAGCTGATAAGTTCTCCTTTAAATCCACATCCAATTTTAACTTAAATTATATTTGATTTCAATTCAATCCACTTTCAATCCAAAATGAAGACCTCTCTCTGCACTTGTGGATGTTGTAAGGTGTCTTTTTAAGTCGTCATTGATTATAAATATAGCCATGAGAGCGGTGGAGGCAGAGCATCGCGGTTTGTCTGTCTGCCCCTAGCGATCCATCAGAAGAGCCCGGCAGAGCGACCTTCCTTCCTGGGGGAGGGAATTGGATGGGGAACTGGGTGTTTCCGCTCTCCATCCCAGGCCACCCTCGCCCTGGCCGTCTGGTGCTCCTGCTGCCTTGCCCCATCTCCCGTGTCCCAAGGCTCTACAAAAGCTTTAGATCTGACGTGATTAGTGCAAAATCATAGGCAAAGCCCTTATCTGCTTTTGCTCCTCTTGCCACGCTTGTCTTGTTTGTACTGTGAAGTCTTCAGACACATCTCTAACACCGTGTGTGTCAGCAGCTATTAAGCTAGTAGATATACTTTGTGTTACTTTGTGTTTCTTCCTTCCCTCTTCCTCTTCTCCTGCCTAAGTTCACGTTGCCAGTTCGTGTTATGGTATCTCAAGCTGTATGTTGCTTTAGTTGGCGGAAAAGTACATAATATATTCAACTCCTTACAGCTTAAAAGTGAGAATACAGCAATATAAAAAGTACAAAATGGTCCCAAGATTCTTGTTATTGGGCGTTAATGGTTTAGTAAAAGCATGTAGTGGCCTCTTGTGTTGCAGGAGCAAATAGAAGCCAATAAACATAATTTATTTTTTGTCTTCTGTGGTTGTTTATTCGCT